TCAGAAGCATTTCTCATAATATATGGGCCTTTGACTATGTCACAGGATAAATGAATCTTATTTTCTTATGCCTTGAAAAGTGCGAAAGGTAAATTTGTTTCTTCGCCATACTCAATTTTTCTATCTTTAAGGAATTAAATTATGAAAAACTAAATCTTTGAAACTCATGTTTAAGTTCTTTTATGATTTTTAAAGAAAACTGTAAAAACATCGTTAAGATTTAATTTTATGCTGTAGATTACTTCTACTATAAATTTAAGATGTTACAATTACCCTAATTTATTTGCAATATCTCACTTTTTTCCCCCAGTATGAACAATGTATTGAAGAGAAAGGAGGCCAAAAGGTAATTGAATATTTCATTAACTCAAACTTTTTGCTTTATCTATCTTTTTGCAATATATGAATAATAAACGAAACAAGCTATAATTCTAACATTTCACATTTACAGATGAAATCCCTTTTATTTAATCACATTTAACTATTTGAAAGCTCGGTTATAAATAGCACCATCTGGATCAATAAAATATTCTTTTTTACTCATAATTTACTATTTTTCTATGAGTTAAATCTATATGTGAGTATGTTTAGTTTTCAACGTTTAAGGCCTATTTTGTATATTACAGCGATCTCCTTATACAGGACGTTAGAAAGGCGACACCAGGCTTTATTCCTTTAGTTGTTGGTTCTAGACATCGCTTTGTTTGATCGATAGTTCATTGCTTAGTTTCTTTTACTTGGTAAATCCAACGGCCAGACTCTTGATCAAAGCATTCTTGGGAATAGTTAGACTCATTGGTTATTTAGAGGTCTCTTCATTGAAAGTATTACCCAAGTTACACCACAGAATATTTGTGCTCAACAAATCGATACTACATCCGCTGAGGAGAGAAACACACACATATAGTTCGACATAGTATACACACTTGGCTGGCGGTGTTAATTAGGTGTTGCCGGTGAATGATCAGTTGAGAGATCACTCTTCGTCGGAAAGCGGGGATATGCTACCCAAGATGGGAAAGTCTTCATGTCATCAGTTGTCTTTTGTGTCTTTGGTTCCTATTCTAAGATTCACATTGATCTGGAAACCAAGAATGTATTTTTTTGTTTTAATAATTATTGAATTTTATAAGCATTGCGTCAGATCTTCTTTCCAAGCTCCTACCAACGAGCTAACAAATTAGTTTTAAGTGTGCTCTCGCCAACTGAACACTTTCAACGAATCCATCTTCCAAAAACTTCCAGAATTCAAAGTTCATTAATACTATAGGAACTGCATCCCATTCCGATAACGCGAGACCACACACAAGTTTGACCACCTGACAAAAATTATTGGATGAAAAGTGTTGCTACGCGTATCATACTCGCCTGAACTTGTGCCCTCAGATTTTCGCTGTCTTCAAAATTTCTTTCGTAGTAAAACAACCAGTTCAGATGAGTAAAACAACCAGTTCAGATGAGTAAAACAACCAGTTCAGCACCTTGGTCAGCTTTCTTTTGATAAAGCGAATTTCTTTTGTGAATAGGAAATTACAAAGCTCATTAAAAGAAAAAAAAACATTTTTTGAACAAAACAGATAATATACTACTAACTACTAATTGATCTTTATATAAATAAAGGACCTTTGAAGAACAAAGAAAAAATACATCATGCCTTTTCAAACAACGAGATAAGAAACAGTACTTTTCTGCTCTGACTTAAATTTTAAGGAGCAAATAAGTAGTTATTTAACTTTTATTTTATATGTATTACATGTGCCCCTTTGGTATAATAAGACTAAAGATAAGATAAGAGACTAAGGAGAAACGAGGCCAAAACTAATAAGTCCAAAGGGGCTTTGTCCCTGAAGGATTATTGTTTTCGTTTTGCAATTTTGCGTTGAAAACTTTAAAAGGCTGTATCACTTTTCAAATCGTTGCCACCAAATACTATCGCCCTGTATTATATTTGAAGAAATTAAATAATGAAGAATGTGCATGGATGTATGTATGTTTCTCTCATTATGAAAAAACAAAGATACTTAGACCCATTAAATTTTGAGTTATTAACAAACTCAACGATTTAAAAGCGAGCAACGGCAACACTCTACTGGGGAATAAAAAACCTTTATATCTCCAGCGCGCGGAACTGTGTATCGGAAATTCTAAAGATATATTCATTTAAAAATTATTTTGGGACAATACTGTTGACCTGAATTATATGGTTTAAGAACATGATATTTAAATAAATAAAGGTAACACACAAAAGGTTAAAAAAACACCCCTTTGGACGTAATTTAAAATCTGAAACCTTTCAGATTTTTTTTTTTTTATTTTTAAAATTATCTATTGCTTCATCGGCTGCTGAAGCGGATTCTTCGTCATAAGTCGTGAATTCCGGGAGCGAATTCTGAAATAGAAGAATTGCCTCTTTCATGTGTGGCAGCTCACAATTACACTCATGTCCATAAATTAAGGATAATGCAAAATCAGGCAAAGGAAGAGTTAGAAGCAAAACAAAGTTGACTTATTTGTAAAGCTTATTTATTAAACATAAGGTAAAGAGCAAAAAAAGATGCTATATGTTTGATATTATTAAAAAAATTAGCGATTTTTTCTCCCTGGAGCAAATTACAAAAAAAAACCTATTTACAAAAAAACAATATTACATGGATGGTATGATTGTTAATACATTGTATGTCTCCCAGACGATGCAATGCAGTCCGTACACCGCCTAGGCATGCTAAGTATCAAATTATCGATCTGATCTTGGGGGATATTACACTACTCAAAAAGCAATGCTCTCCGAAGTTCCGGTAGACATGTAGGAGGAGGTTGACGGGCTGCAACTCGTCGGCCAAGCATATCCCACACGTGCTCTATTGGATTCAAATCCGGTGAGAATGCTTCCAGTCCATACTGGTGATATCCTCCGATTGAAGGCATTCGCTTACGATGTTTGCACTGTGAGGACGGGCGTTGTCATCCATAAACACTGTGCGCCCATGGCGCCCCGAAACAAACGTATATGTTGTTCCAGAATGACGTCCCAATAGATTTGGCTTGTCATGGTTCCAATTTGAACATGCAGGTCAGTTCTGGAACCCAGAATAATTCCACCCCAAACGAGCACTCCTGCACCACCGTAACGGTGTCGTTCAATGATGTTTTCTTGGTGGTAACGGGTACCTGGAGCTCTTCATATGAAAGTCCGGCGAGAATCTGATTGCAAGCTAAACCTGGACTCGTCGGAAAACATCACACAAGCCCACTGTTGCGGTGTCCACAATGCATGCTCTCTACTCCAGGCTAACCGCAGGCGACAGTGAGTTGCAGTAAGTGGAACGCATCTGACAGGTCTACGAGCATATAGACCAATCTGCCCTAAGCGTCTGTACACGTTCTGCCTTGAAATTGTAGTACCAGTGGCTGAAGAGAGCTGACGAGACAGGTCTGAGGCTGTGCTCCGCCTGTTTCATTTGGCAGTAACTGCCAAATAACGGTCCTCATTCGGCGTTGTAACTGTCCTGTAACATCTACTCACATTACCATCATCTTGGAATCGTTGCCAAAGCCTGGAGATGACACTCCAGTTCAGGGCAATTCTAAGTTCGTCTGATACTTCCATTTGGGTATGCCCACATTCCAGACGGCCAATAAATCTACCACGTAAAAACATCATCCAAATGCGTCCTTTGTGTCATAACTATTCGGTTATTGCAGTGAAATGCTTATAAAGCGCCTGCGAACAATTTTACTTCTTTGCTTGTATTCCTTATATATCACTCTCTTACACTCTCGTCATTGTGACGTACCATCGGTGTCATCTGGTTATTTCCTGAAATTTGCATATGATTCTTGAAGATGTATGTAGTGATTTTACAGGTGATATATTTATTTTACACGCGGAAATCGACATGAGTTCGATTTCCGCGTGACTCCGAATTATCCTTAATTTATGGACATGAGTGTATTTCCTCAACCAACCCGCATAGTATACTTATTCATTACTTGCTACGAAGTCAAAAAAAGCATCGTTTAATGTTTCGATATTTTAACTCGCTGAATGAAATATAAAAAGCTTGAATAAATTCATTTATTCTGGTAGGTGCAGGTGGGTACTGTGATGGTTGTATGGCATTAAAGAATGCAAATCTATGATGTTAAAATCAGGGCAGCTGGGAAATTGACAGCACAGTTGGATATTCTATTCATCTTTGATCAAGAATCATTTAGTATGATATAAAGTACAGTTTTGCCAGACACATCACGTGCTTTAGCAATAACCGGTATAATACTATGCTTAGGTCTTTGATTTTTAATGGTTTTCAATAGCTCCTGTAGAATCGCATTCCTCTCTTTACACCTTAAATTTCGTTTCTTTCCCACAGCTCAACAACAACAACAACAACAACAACAACAAAAAAAAAAAAAAAAAAAAGAACGAAAATAACTCTTTTTTTACATATATAGTATAAAAATCCTTTTTTATAGAAGGTTAGGTAATTCAAAATCACTTTTCCAGCTTCTGTTTTCTTAATCCAGTAAATATTTATAAAATCGGACAACCATTTCGATACGGAGGAAGTATCATACAATACAATATTTTCTTATATATGTAAGCAAATTACGACTCGGCTAATAATCTAGTAATCCATTATGAGTTCTCAGTTGCATGTCTTTTTTACTAAGAACTTAAATTTGCATTTTTTCCGGATATTATTGGTTGTGAGTCATATATCGAAGAAACTTCGAATTAAAATATGTTTCATGCCAAAAAAGCCCGTGTATGAACTGCACGCCAATAGTGCTAATTTGTTGATTTTTTTTTTTTTTTTTTTTTTTTTTTTGTAAATGTCGAAATTTCCTCTATTTTTTTTTTCCCAATAAAACTTTTCATTAAAATTTGATCGTGCATCAAATCCATTCTATGTTATTTAAGACTGTTTCCTAACATAATGTTACAAAATTCAGACGATAATAATTCCACGAATGTTTCTAAATTGATGAATATTATTTTGGTATATCATATAAATTTATTATAAAATGTTGTTTGATTATTAAGTCTTCTTGTTTTCTTGGTATAAAAGAAAGAATTGCTAATGTAGCAATTAACTTAATACTTAACTGATGTAAGTTTGAAATAATGAATTTCATTCCGTTTTCATACTTTGATATGTAATCATATTCAGATTTTTTTTAATTCACATAATTATTATTATTAACTTTTTAGGTTTGCAAAGATTTTCGTGTGAGTATTTCAAATTCTTTTATTTTTCTCGTTTTTAACTTAACAATTCTCTTAATTTAATTATTTAATTTGATTTCTTCTCTTTTTATTAGTATTTCTTTTGTAAATTCTTCTATTTTTCAATTAATTGCTTTTATTTCGTTCTATACTTTGATTTGTTAATTTCATTTCCATTTTGAATTATTTCTACTCTTTTAACATTTTTCTATAAATTGAAATTTAATTTGCAGTTGAAAATTAGTTTATGTTTCATCCTTTTCTTTATTTTCTGCAATTATTTCATTCTTTAATTAGATTTTTAAAGGAATGTGCTGAAAAGAACGCTGTGCCTAAAAAATGAAAAGAACCTTCAAGGAAAGAAGGAAAGTGAAAATGATTAAAAGTTCTGGTATAAATATTATGTGCAGTATTTCATCGTTATGTTGACGAACATTTCTGACTTTCTGTTTTATATTTTAGATTAGGTCATCTTTATTTGACTTAATTTGCATATTCTGAAAACACTAGATGTGTGTAAAATAAAGCTTTTTAAAAGGTTTTGTTTGATCTTCTGTTTTTACAAGCCATATAAATCTAATGGGAAAATGAGCTTCATTTTGGATATATTTCAAATTCAAGTTTCCCGCAACACTACGTCAAATCCGCTGGTGTTCAAGGATCCACGGAAGATTTCGACACAAAAATACAGATCCTTCATGCGCGAGCTACGGGAAAAGAAAAAAAAAAAAAAAAAAAAAAAAACACTTTGAAAACTTGAAATGATGCAACGCATTTTTTCTCTCTAACTTATAGAATCTGCAGATAAATTTCTAGTGACCCAAGAATTTTTGGAGGTAGTTAAGAATTATAATCTTAAAATGAGTGTGAAAAATGCAGTGCAGGAAGACAAGATCTCCTTACTGATTTTAAAGCTACTATTAATAGCCTTGGACAATAAGGATTACTTGATAACTTCAAATCGACAAAGCCTTATGCTGCTTTAGCTTAAGATCAGAAATAAAAATACCAGAAAACATTAGCTACTCTTGTCTTGTAGAACTCTAAATTCTATCCAGTAAAATTAACTGGCTTTAAGGTTTTCTTAATGAATACACTTTTGGTATTTATACGATCATTGAAACATTTATTATTCCATGGAGCATTACCCGAAATTACGTAAAATGTAAGTGTAGCAGAATGCATCATAAAAAATGTGGTTTTAGTGTTTTTAGTAAAAGATCCCTTGAATCCTGTTTTTAGAGTTGTGATGATTCTAAAGGCTTTGAGCTTTTTAGATCACAATCTTACAGCGATAATCTCCCTAAGACAATCAGATCTGAAAAATGACATGTACTTCTCAAAAAATAAATAAAAATCGCTCAAATCGCAATCTGAAAATTTTAGATTTACTGCATGAAGAATTGTTAACTAATAGTTTTTTTCAAATTAAAAGTTTAAAATTATATTTAAATCATGTAAACTATTCGGTTCTCTTCTTTAAATAAATATAATATCTTATGTTATCAATTTATAAAAGTAAGTTTTTACTATTGTTGAATAAAATTAAATTTAAAAAATAATTTCAATTAAAAAAGTTTTGCTTTCTTCCTATATTTCTTTTCTTAACGTAAAATAATGTGAGCAGAAATCAAAATATTAAAAAAATATAGATTAACATCTGTACAAAACTGAAATATGCGGACAGAGTATTACAATACATATGATGTAGCAAAATTTTGTAATTACCTTTAGATTTAATTTTAGATACACACTTATGCATCCAAAATTACAATTAGGAAAATTTTAGTCGATAAATAAAGACTTGAGTACAGAGTATTAGACTGATTAAAGCATTAAAACATCTTTCACTTTTCATATTTATGTTATGAAGATATAATTGTTGATAAGTCTGTTCAGAAGTACAGAAAAATTATTTTTTAAATGATTCCCTTTCTTACACTCATGAATAACACACATTTGAAGTATCCGAAACATCAGCGCTGTCTTTAAGATTTCCGACACCCGCCTGTAAATTTAAAAAAAGGTTTCTTTCAATAATATAAAAATGTTTACCTTCTTTCTATGTTACATGATATTTTTTGGGAATACTGAAGCAATAAAATCATATTTAAAAAAATTTAGAGATTAAATGTTAATGTCATTTTTTATTAACAGAACAAAAGTACGTAAAATGTTCATTTGCCAACCATACTAGATGTACAAAATAAGTTGTGAATCATCATAAGTACTTGTTGACTTGATTAGCTATAAATAATATAACATGATTATAATATAACATGATTAGCTATGACTAAACTTATTTTTCTTAAAGGTTATTTTTTATCGACGGACCAGCTTCACTGCTTCGTTTTTAATTATTTTATTTAGAAAAACATCATATACAAATATTTACAGTGAAGCAAAATACAATTTAATTGTGAGCTTCGGTTACAAGTAATTGCTCACGTCAGACCGGTTAGATTTCTTCTTCAAGTCTGCTGCCTCAATCGTAGGAGGCGATAATTTGGCGAGATTCGTTGGCGTAAAATGCGCCAACATCCCGCCCGGCCTTGCTATGTTCACATGCAAGAACTTAACAATTTAATTATGAAATACCAGTATTAAAGTTTCAGTTATTCATGTAAACAATAAAATATGTATAGAAAAAATATAAAATAAGTGAACAAAACATGAATACAAAATTATTGAGAAAAATAATTTTCAATATAATTACTAACAACTGAGTAACATAATTCACAACTTGCTAAACTTCAATAGGCAATACAGCTATTTTATTAATTGTCCTTTTAAAGTCCCCTGTTTTGGTACGAACTTTTACAACACGGACTTTTCCATCAGAACCGTGGTACAATGATGTTATTCGCCCTAAAAGCCAATTGTTAATTGGCAGAAAATCTTCTTTAATCAAAACCATTTGGCCGATCATCAGATCATTTTTTTCAACCATCCATTTTGATCTAGATTGTAAAGTATTCAAGTAATCAGACTTCCATCTTTTCCAAATAAGTTGTATAGTTTTTGTAGTTTTTTGCCAACGACTTAAGCGGTTTTCCTTTAAATCCGTTAAAAACGGCTCAGAAATTGCTGTTTGTTATAGGTCGCCCTATCAAGAAATGACCTGGCGTCAGAACTTCGAAACTTTCTGAATCACTAGAAAGAGGAGTAAGCGGTCGCGAATTTAATATTCCTTCTATCTGAATGACAATCGTTTCGAATTCTTCGTAAGTGAAATGAAAATTGCCAATCGTACGTTTAAGATGGTACTTCACCGATTTTATCCCAGCTTCCCAAAGTCCACCGAAGTGAGGCGATTTGGGGTGGAATAAAATTCCAATCTATATTTTCTTGCGAAAAATGATTAGCTAATTCTTTGTCTGGGAAATTAATGAGCTTATAAAATTTTTTCAATTTTGAATTCGCTCCTCCAACAAAGTTAGTAGCATTGTCAGTATAAATTTTGAAACATTTGCCACGTCTACTTGTAAAACGTTTAAGTGTTGCAATTAAAGCATCAGGAAGTCAAATCTGTTAATGTCTCAAGATGGATGGCTTTTGTTGCGAAACATATAAAAATACAAATATACAATTTATTCAGAATACCTTTACGTTGATTTTTAAATTTCACTAAATAAGGGCCACATAAATCAATACCTGTAATAGAAAATGGAGCTGAAACATTAACTCTTTCACTAGGCAAATTACCCATAATTTGTGAAGAAAGAGTGGGCTTACATTTAAAGCACGTTACACATTGATGTACTGTTTTACGTGCGAGACTACGGCCACCTAAAGGCCAAAATTTCAAGCGCACTGCATTTAGCAGACCTTGTGGTCCAACATGAAATAATTTCCTGTGTAAACTTTCAAAATAAATTTTACTTAATCTTGAACCCTTAGGTAAAATAGGAGGATGTCTTTGAGAATATGGCACTGAAGCATTCTTCAGCCTTCCTCCTACACGTACTATTCCTTTGTCATCAAAAAACGGAAATAAATTCGAAATATTACTTGGCAGTTTCTTTCCTTCAAGGAGAACTCGTTGTTGTTCATGCTTAATCAACACTTCTTCGGCTTCTCTTACCTCCTCCACTGACAGTGGTCCTGTGTTTTTTACCTTATTCCTGCAATTGGAAAATAAACCTGAAAATATAAGACAAAACATGGTTAATTTTATAATAATTGTTTGAAAGTTCTAAGAGGTCGTCCACAATAAAATGTTGAGAGCTGTCATTTAGCAGGGCTGTCTCTTTACAAGTCTCATCTTCAAAAGGAATTTTCCTTTCTCGCCGCAAAGTTTCTTTTTCGACTTGTTCGATGGTTTCAATCTCAGGAATAAATGGTTGCAAGTTCTTGAAAACTGTCAGGCTGCATCAAGAATTCTGGACCTGTCCACCATCTAGAATCTGTCACCAAGGAATCAGCATTCATTCCACGTGAGAGAAGATCGGCAGGATTTTCTTTACCTGCACAGTGATGCCAAGAGTTGGGATCTGTCAAGCTGGTGATTTCGTTCACTCGGTTTGCCACAAATTGCTTCCATCGGGTTTTTGCACCCTTTATCCAAAAAAGTGCAATCTTGGAATCTGTCCAATGGTATTCAACAGAAGATCTTTTCAGATTCACGATTCTCTTTACCTTAGAACTAAGACGAGCTGCAACTAGAGCACCCAATAGTTCTAATCTTGGTAAGGTTACACCGTTTAATGGAGCCACACGACTTTTTGAAGTTAGGAGTTTCACCGATATTCCACTGAGTGTCTTCACCTTCAAATATATGGCAGCGCCATATGCCTTTTTACTTGCGTCGCAAAAACTGTGTATTTCAACAGTATCTTCCTTTGATGCAGAATCATTAACCAACCTAGGTATTTTCAAATTTTCTAAGTGATGAAGTTCAGCACACCACTTCTTCCATTCCTTTTCAATTTCCTTTGGTAAAGGTTCATCCCACTGAATTTTTTCATTCCAGAGATCTTGGATGAGGCATTTAACTCGAATGGTGAAAGGCGAAATTAATCCTAAAGGATCAAATATCTTCCCTATTGCTTGAAGTAAGAAGCGTTTCGTATTTTTGTCCATAGAAAGAAATTCCAAAAGATTTTTAGTATCCATAGTTAAATAATCTTCGTGCGTCTTCCAAGAAAGTCCCAAGATTTTAGTTTGGTGTGCGCCCAAGCTGAGAGTAGCGTCTGCAGGATAGGTATCGAATTCTTCATTCTTCCATTGCTCCATTAATTCAGCATTATTGCTAATCCACTTCCTGAGGACCATTCCAGCCTCTTCCATAATTTTCTTGGCATTTTTAGATACTTCAAGTGCTTCTTCAAAATCCTCACTTCCAGAAATGAGATCATCTACATAAAAACACTGGTCTAAAATTTCAACTGTTTCGGGAAAATCTTCCTTGTATTTTTTAATATGATGTCTAATAGTAGCTGCTAACAGGAATGGGCTCGAACTGACCCCAAAATTTACTCGATTGAAACGGTAAATCTGTAAATTGGGCCTTTTATCAACACTTGGATCATCACTACTCCAAAGAAAACGAACTGCATCCTTATGTTCATCAGAGAGGCATATCTGCAGAAAAGCTTGTTTAACATCTGAACAAAATGCAATTTTGTTCAATCTGAAATTAATTAGTAAATCCAAAAGATTTGGATTTAAGTTAACCCCTGGCCACAAGCAGTCATTTAA